ACTGCTAATGAATTACTTGAATTTGTATCATCAGGTCTTTAGGCACAGGCTGTCCGTTAACTTTTGCCACTTTGGTCAGCACCTCATAGGCTTCGGAATACCTTTTTTGTGTGATAAGCCATGAGGCTGATTCCGGCACTAGTCTATCACATGTTTATTAAATTGGTATTACATGGATAATTAAGCACACTAATGCCTGTAATTAAATCATACCTCCAACATAGAAGAAATGGAAGGGTAGCCACAAATTGAAACACTGCTAACCAAACCCAGTCACCGGTCAGATATACCACACCCGGTAATATACATCCCCCTAAGGAATAGCCTATCGCTGATAAACTTGAAGTTTTTGACCGATAGTCCGTTCCGACAAATTCCACGGCTTTAAATAATTGAATGAAAATCTTAATATTAATTTTGAATTTATTGTTATGAGAGAGAAATGAGTGAAACCTAAAATGAAAGGGATTTGATAGTAGATGACAAGAAGACTTCCTCCGATGAATCGGCAAACGGAGAAACNGAAAGGGATTTGATAGTAGATGACAAGAAGACTTCCTCCGATGAATCGGCAAACGGAGAAACTGATGTAATCGCGCAAAACAATCGGCGACACCAATGATAATATAAATATGATATTTACGATTAGAAATGACTTCTTTCTGCCAATCCTTGAGATACAATAAAAAGAAAAAAGTTATAAAACAATTAGATTGTCTACTGTATTGTCATTTGAGTGCATTCATGCGAAATTTTAATTTTGTGGACAATTGAATCATTTTGTCATAGGAATACAGGGTATGTCAAATGTTTGATTAATTTTTAAATTGTATTGTAATCTTAATACAAATGAATGGAAAATTATTATGATTTAAATGATTGCAGAGTACCGTACATCTACTATATGTGTTGTAAACAAAATAATTAACAAGTAAGCTATCTATATTATATTTAAAATTTAATTATATTAATAATTTATATTAAGTATTTAAATGAATTCATACCAATCGGTAACGGCCGAGAAGATAGGAGTGGTGATAACGAGTCCAATCGCTCCCAGAGACATCAATACACTTACATAATGTGCATTATTGCAAACTAAATTAAACTGG